GGGTCCCTGTTTCGAAAGACTACGACGACAGCTTATTAAAAGGGGGGACGAGTGTGATGCGAGCTACTTATAAGTAGTAGTATATGACGTGAGTGTCAACGTAATTTCTGGTGGCAGCAGAAGTTGGGGGAAGATCAAGAAACGAAGAAGAGTTAGAACACAATGGAATTTGTATGAAACACATGAATAGTGATTGACAATGGATTGATGTTTTGCAACAGGAACAACAGTCCAGTTCGATATGATGATGGACTGATATTTTGCAAATTAACGATTTACGATATGGTTTTCCGATTTTACTGAGTAACTCTGTAATTTTCGTTAAATAATAATTCGGTTGCCCTCTCCGGTGTTCTCCTTCACTTCATTTGGTGTCGCTGCCTGCTCGAAGGAAGGAGCTCCCGTGGCCGAAGGAGTTGGAGGACGGAGATTCGCGGAGGAGTATGAGGCCGCAGTGGAGCTGATGGATGTGAAGGGGCCCAGGGCGGTGTTGGTGGTGCTGGGGACGCTGCGGGGAGGTGAGGCAAAGGCGGTATACGACAGCCTGGACGGTGCCGTTTTTTTCACTACTACTGCTACTACTAGTACTAGCCCTAGCAATTGATTTGTAAATCATTCAAAGAGGATATTCATTCATCTTATCATGAATTGTGTGTACAAACACACTCACACACACACACACACCTACAAAGGTACACATTCTCGTGCATACACACAGCAATAATAATCATAATCTTAAATAATCATCACAAGACAGAATTTTTAATTCGTCCGCATATTATTTAATTCTTTTACTGGTGGTGTGAGATAGATTATTTAACTTTGAACCAAAAAAGAAATTCTTTATTATGATTTGTGTTGATTAGGCTGATGTGAATGTGTGTCGTCTATGTGTGTGTTGTTGTGTGGATGGGTTCAGGGTGTCTGAAGGGGGTTTTCTCAATTTGTCTGTTTACCTTATGGCTTATCTTTCTAAATACACCAAATTTAATCGACACACAGTGATGATTGTGTTTTTTGATTAGAAACTTTCAAATAGTTTCGTTTTTTTTCTATCAAACAACAACTGTTGACTATTTGTCTGTTCATGTGCATGTGTGCATGTGTGGGTGTGTGTCTGTGCGTGTGTGTTTGTGTGTGCAGTTCACCATGTTTTTGATTTCATCCATCAAGCCAATAAACTGATAAAATCTACTACACGCATTCGACAATAACACACACACACAAATGAATACCAGATAAAAAAGTCTATTTTTTTAATTTGACGACATCAAGTACTACTACTACTACTACTTATATGACTACAGTGATGAGATTGTGTTTTTTTATTTCCATTTATAGTATTGTGATTAATTATCCATGGTCTGGTTAATTTTTAAAAAAAAAATATTTTCAGTTTAAGATGAAAAAAATTCAATTATTTCTTGTCTCCTATCTATCTATCTATAAATTTCCAGAAAAATGTCCTGCTGTGTGTGTGTGTGCACGCCTGTTTGTTGCCTACAGTGTGTGTGCGTCTTTGTGTGTCTGTCTATCTATCTATGAATGATATTATTATAGTGGTGACAGGAACAGCAGAAGACGACGAGTTGTTGACAAACACACCCACAGACACACACACACAAGTCAGCCATAAACACACACACATTATTCGATAAAACACACGGAAAGACACAGATAGAGAGAGAGAGTGGGGTAGAGTGAGGGAGAGTGAGAGAGATTAAAGACTACACCACCGCTCTTTTTCATTATATGAACCTCGTTTAGTTTTATTTAATTAAAACAAATCATTTAAATTAACATGCATGAATGTATACACGTGTGTATTTTATAAATGTATTTTTACTCTTACATTTATTAATAATAATGATAATAATAATAATTATTATTATTGTTAATAATATTAGTGAACAGAACAACGTCTGGTTTACAACGCATTAGTTAGTTAGTTGGCTGGTTAGTACAAAACACCACAACATCTTAATCAATCAACAGTCAACAATCAACAGTCTACTGATCTACCATGATCAGACGAAATATCTTAATCGTAGTTATAGTAATAGGGATGACAAAAATATCCTGCTGTTTGCCATCTTTGTCGTTTCTGTAAGTTTTATGAAAAGATTATATTTGTGTATTAATATTTGTAAAACACGAATTAATAAAAGGGAATTTGAAAATTGTGTATCAGTGTTTTTTATTGTGGTGGTGGTGGTGCGCAGGGTGGGGGGCGCAGCCTGAGGAAGGATGAGTAATGTACATAGATTATACAGATAAAAAAATTCTTTATACGCATGTTTTTTTTATCTCGAAAAGAAACAAGAACTATAGTTTAATCCATTGTTAGTTAATCTGTTTCTGATGAGTGCCATACCAAGACGAAACTGCTGTGTTTCAGTGCTTCCAGATTTCTTCTAATGCTGGTCTAACAATGATTGATTGATGATTTCAAAAATGTGTAACTTAACTTAACGCAAATTACCTGTGCTCAGTAGTGACTAGCTTCGTGAGGAGAATCTTCTCCAAGTTCTAGTAGGAAAGTCGTGACCAGTGAAGTTCAACCCTGTTCGGGGATAGACAGTAACTACTACGGAAGACTGTGTATGAGGTTGCGTAAGAACGTGAATTGATCGAAGTTAGACATTAACACCGTTGGGTACCGGCTCAGTGGTCTGACGGTTTGGGCGTTCGCGCGCAAGGCTAAAGGTCCTTGGTTCGAATGCTGTGAGGTGCAGGAGTCATGGATGCTCACTACCACTGATGTGTCCCATGCCAGGATGAAACGGCCATCGTCTAGTGCCTTCAGGTTTCTAATGGTGGTCTAACATTAATCGATTTATGGTTTCAAAAAATGTATAACTTACAACTTTATCAAATCGGAATAGATATGTAGATTGTTGTGTTCACTAGTAACTAGCTTCGTGATGAAATTCTTGGAGTTCTAGTAAATAATTCATGACAAGCCTTATAGGTTGTAAACAGTAACTAACTACCAAAGACAATTGGTGTGGACGCACAAAAATCCTTAGATTGAACATAGAATTATTATGCCTTACCACGGTTCGATGCCGGTTCAGTTGTCTAGAGAGTTCACATGCACTGGACCAAATGTCTTTGGGTTCGATTCTTACAAGTAGTGGTAGTCTTGGATGCAAACTGCTGATGAATCTCATATTAGGACGAAACAACTATCCAGTGAGATGGTGGAGAAAATCTGTAGCTCAGGTAGAGATGATTGTAGTGGTGTTTCGCTCTCTCTGAGCTGAAGATGTTTTAGTTGTGAAGCTTTCATTGTTCTTCTACTGAACATCATCGTCATCAGCACAGACTTCAGATAGAAACAAAGTGAAGTATTTGAATTTCTCCACGTTTAACCTGTAGCTTATTCTGCTAACCTCGATCTCGATTGGTAACTGTTGACCAAGGTTAGCTAGAACCACCTACAAGGTCAAACATGGAGAAATTCGAATACTTCACTTCATTTCTATCTGAAGTTTGTATTGAAGAAGGTTGTTGTTTAATACGCCGATACACACTAACAAATCTATTAAGTAGGTAGGTATTGTACAATGTGTATATAAAATAAAATCGATACCTTCAATTACATCCACATTAGGGCAATACAAAAAACTCTGTTGTTTATCAAATTAGGATTATGAAGATTGAAGGTTTGATGTTGTTTAACTTTCCTAACTATCTACCATTGTCTCTGGGTGTTTTTAATTATCTTACATCCGATTTCAGTAAAAAATCCGCTGGTTAACGACTATTTTATTCAAACTGTGAAGATTTCTTCACGAAGCTAATCACTAATGAGTACACGATAATTATCATGATAAAGATGAATCCATAAAAACGGCATGGATTAAACGCATTCATGTCTACATGAAAGAAGGTTGTAAGTCAGTTTATATATAGTCAACAATATCCTACTCAACTACGTGACCAATAACGAGCCTTTCCTCTTATAAATCTGCTTCAGTATCGTGGTGGTGGGGGTGTTTGGTTCTCTGAGCTGGATGTTTTGGTTGTTAATTCATTCAACCAAACACCAGCACCATCACCACCACCACCACTACCACAATCATCCTCCGCCTGAGCTACAAATCTTCTCCACCATTTACTTCACCATTTTCTGATTAAACGACGAGTGTACTGTGCAGTAGTTCGCTCCGTCTTACTTTATGGCTGTGAAACATAGCCAGTGAGAGTAGAAGATATTCGTAGGTTAATGGTTTTAGATCATAGGTGTCTTCGAAGTATTGCTCGTATATCGTGGGACATCCGAGTGTGGAACGTTGTTATTATGAATCGAGTGCTAGGTAAGAATGGCAGATCAATAGATGAAGTGGTGAAACCTCATCAGTTGAGGTGGTTGGGACATGTGTTACGAATGCCTAACCACCGACTGCCTCGACGAGCTATGTTTTATAGTGTAGGAGTAGGTTGGAAGAAAGTTAGGGACGGTCGGACCAAAACATGGCAGAAATCCATGAAGTCATTGACTAGTGGACTTAGCCATGTCGGTAATTGTCAACTACCTGGTTGGGGTCCGCGAGATGATAATAATCGATGGTTAGAGACCTTGAATGACATAGCTCAAAATCGTTCGCAATGGCGCCAGTGCATTTATTCTTTGTGTTCTCTCAAATCATAATCTTCTGGATTCTTCAACACCTCTAGTTTTGACTTTCTAAACTTTTCTCACTGAATCATATCTTCTAATCCTAACCTTTCCGATTACTTCTAATACCTTTAATACCTCCTCGACATTTAGATTTGAACTGACAATTACATCTCTGTGCTGATGTGGTATGGCAACTTGTGAACTGATGTACATGCGTACGTACAAAGTTCTACGTTGCATCTGATCTGACTGGCCGACTGACTTAGTTTCATTGAAATCTTTAACTAATCAATAAATATGAAATGCAAACGAACAAAAAATCAACTTTAGTTACGAATAAAATTGATTCAATTGATATCAAATGTTCACTTACCTCTTCTTTGCATATAAACAAATAATTCATCCAGAAATTCTTTACGTTTTGGATCATCTGAAATAACGTATAACTGAAAAACAGAAAAGAAAATAAAAGAGGAAACAGATAAATCGGGGAAACAGTTCACAGTAAAATTAATGAAGTGATAAAACATTGTTCATGATTGAATTGTATAGAATTGTGGTGTGTGCTACTTATAAGTAGTATATGACATGAGTGTCAACGTAATGTCTGGCAGAAGAGAAGATGGGGGGGAAGATCAAGAAAGCAAGAAGAGTGGGAACACAATGGAATTTGTATGAAACGCATGAACAGAGTGAAATGTCAGACAATGGATTGATGATGGATTGAAGATTTGCAAATTAACGGTGGTTACGATATGGTTTTGCCTATTTTACTGAGTAACTCTGTAATTTTTGTTAAATACAATCCGGTTCCCCTCACCTGTGTTCTCCTTCACTACACAATGTTGAATGTTACATCAACCATACATCATCATCATCATCATCGGTAGAAATCTGGAAGCACTAACTGACTGTCTTATGAATAAGACACCTTAGTAGTGCACATTCACGATTCCCAACGGTCTAGATGTTATACATCTGTGCAATTTATTAAAAAAAACGATTTTCAATCATGTCATTTATTCGTGTCTAATTCATCGGTTATGATTGTCTTGAGGACACCAACCAGGTTGTCTATCTACATCAACTAAGATATCTTAGTTCACTTGTCGATCACTTCATGGGATTGGTTTGACCCAGGAAAAATTTTATTGGTTAATTACTCTCAACCAGAAAAAAACACCTTTTTATTTACAACTAAATAGTAATTGTTAACGAAAATATGTTGAAGTGAAGATTGTTAAGTTACACATTTTTGAAACCATGAATTGATCAATGTTAGACCATCATTAGAAGAATCCTGGAAGCACTGAAAGATAGCCATTTCGTCCTAGTTTGGGTCTCATCAGTGGTAGTGCGCATCCATGACTGCTGCACCTCGCAGGACTCGAACCCCTGACCTTCGGTATTGTTCGCGAACGCCTAACCTCTGGACCACTGAGTTGGTGGTATCTAACAGTGTTAATGACGAAATGGCCATCGTCCAGTACTTCCAGGTTTCTTCTAATGAAGGTCTAACATTGATCGATTCATAGTTTCAAATTAAACTGCATAAGACAAACTATTCAAAGAAATATTCCAAAGAACATATCTCAGGCAAATAAAGGATCACACATCAAATCAAAGTCAAATGGAGTGAAAATAAAGAGGCCAAAAAACACACCAGATAAAAAGGACAGACACAATCAATCAATCACTAATATTCAGGTTAATAGAAAAATCGATAAGTTATGATACGCGCGGAATTCGAATACTTCAATTCTTCTACCTGAAGTTTGTGCTTCTGATGATGTTGTTGTTCAGTAGGAGAATAATGAAAGCTACATCATAAAAATAAGAATAACATATTTAGTCAATCAGTCGGTCAGTTACAATGTAGAACTTCTTACGTACGTACATCAGTTCATGTTGTCATACCACATTAGCACAGAGACGCACTTGTCAATTCAAATCCCATAGTGGTAAAGATAGTAGAAGCATTAGCAATAGTCGGAGAGATATGGATTCGAAGATATTATTGTAGTGAACGAGAACACAGGTGGGGCAACCGAATTGTATTTAACAAAAATTACAGAGTTACTCAGTAAAATAGGAAAACCATATCGTAAATCGTTCATTTGCAAAATATCTGTTAATCATATCGAACTAGACTGTTCCTGTTGCAAACAACCTCAATCTATTGTTACTATTCATGCGTTTCATACAAATTCCATTGTTTTCTAACTCTTCCTTTCTTGATCTTTCACCATCTTCTGCTGCCAGACATTACGTTGACACTGACGTCATATACTACTTATAAGTAGCTCACACCACATTATTAAGCAAGTATGGTTCGGTGAGATAAATTTAGAAAGCGAAAGATAGAGACGATGAGAAATTCAGAGGGTTAAAATTTGAGAGAACACAAAGAATAAATGCAACTGCGTCATTGCAAACGATTTTGAGCCATTTCATTCAAGGTCTCTAACCATTGGTGACTTTCGTCTCGCCGACCCCAACCAGGTAGCCTACATCTACCAACATGACTCACTCCACTTGTCAGTGACTTCATGAATTTTCGCAATATTTTGTTTTGGCCACCCCTAGCTTTCTTCAAGCCAGGGTAGTCAGAAGACTCTTCATTTTATCAGCGTCTTAATCGGCATATTCTAAGTCAATAAGCGATCTTCTTGGTAAAAGGTCCACTCCTGAAATATCTGACGAGGATAACGTTAACTCTATAAGCATGTCTACAACAAAGTTAAACAAGAATGGAGAGAGTGGACAACCCTGACGGATGCCACTTGAATTAGAGAATTCCAATGACATTTTACCATACAACTCTCACCCGACCAGTGGTGTTGGAGTACAGAGTTTGCACTTCTCTGGTACATCTTTTAATGACAATCACTGCCACAGAACTTCACGATTCACAAAGTTAAATGCCGCCTTAAGGCATAGGAAGATAACTATTGTCTGACAATATTAAGTAGTTGAGGGTAATAGGTATTTTTAGAATGTGTCTACAGGATGACAAGGTTATATATAATAATTGCATCGATCAATATTTCGTTATCTCAACTATATATATTCGATTTACCAATCCGGAATCAATTTTTATACCAAATCGTATGAGTAATTAGTAAGATATTTGAAAAAGCGAAGAGAACGAGATACAGCAATATAGAGTCCGGTCATACATAAGGATGAGCCTACTGTGCAGCAATTCACTTAATCCTAATTTACGAGTTGAAAACATGGTCAATCAAAGTAGAGGATATTCGTTGGATGCTGCCACTATTCTATCATAACTGTCTTTGGAACACATTGCTCGTATATCCTGGGATAATTCAGTAAGCAATGGAGAAGTTCTTAGGAAACGAGTACTAGGTAGGAATGGCAAATCAATAGATGAGAAGAGTATTGAAAATTCATCAGTTAAGGTAGGTGGGACATGTGTTACGTATGACAAACTGCAGACTGCAGACTCAAGAAGTTATGTTTTGTGGTATGGCGTTCTCTTAAATCCCCTAACCTTCTGAGTTCCTCATCACCCTTATCTTCAGTTAGAGCTTTGAAGGTTTGTGTTTTTTCTACACATTTGAAATCTTCAATCAATCAATCATTGTTAGACCCCCATTAGAAGAAACACTGGAAGCACTGGACGATGCCCATTTCGTCCTGGTATGGGACTAATCAGCAGTGCACATCCACGACTCCTGCACCTCACAGGATTCGAACACAGGGCCTTCAGTATTGTGCGCGAACGCCTAACCATCGGACCACTGTGGCCGGCATCCAACGGTGTTAATGCCTAAAACACTGATTGATCTAGGGATTTTGCGCGACCTCATCCATTTGTCTTCGGTGGGTAGTTACTGCTGCCTACACCCGACACAGAGTTGAACTCCATTGGTCACGACGTCTTTTCAACTAGAACTCTGAGAATTTCCTCACGAAACTAGTCACTAGTGAGCACATGTCACGATATTTTCAATTAAAGCTTAGGAGATTTGTGTTTTTACACATTTGAAATCATCAAAGCAAAACGGCCATCCAGTGCTTACAGGTTTCTTCTAATAGCAGTCTAACAATGATTGATTAATGATTTCAAACCTTTATCTTCCTCTATTTAGGTTTATCTCTGTTAAGTTCGTCACTAGGTACGCTTGAAGCTATTACGAGTTCACGTTGGTCGATAAACGCGAACGAGACAATGAACCAGTGCCCAGCTAGGCTACCTTGAATCCAAGGCTTTGTAAGCGTAGAAAGTATATTCTACACACACCCAGCAATCACACAATACAATCAGCCACACAACTCTCATTTATTTATACATCATTGAAACGTCCTAGTGGGTCAGTTACGAAAATAGCACACTAATAAAATACACAGCAGCCAATCACAGTCATGGATTTTCCTGGTGGGAACTGTGTGATCTCAAAGTCAACTGATCCGCCCATGCTCGCAAACGTGAAATCCAAAATCAAGGCATTTAACAAGCGAGTTCTTCTGGGTTTATCTAACATCCCCAACAATCTCCCTGAATTATAATACTTCTCGAATCATGTCTTCGAATCGCAATCTTCTCTGATTTCTGTGAATACTACTTCTGTGGTGCTGTGGTGCGAGCTACTTATATGTAGTATATGACATGAGTGTCAACGTAATGTCTGCTGGCAGCAGAAGATGGGAGGGAAGATCAAGAAAGGAGGAAGAGTTAGAACACAATGGAATTTGTATGAAACGCATGAATAGTGAGTGACAATGGATTGATTTCTTGCAACAGGAACAGTCCAGTTCGATATGATGAACTGATATTTTGCAAATGAACGAACGATTTACGGTATGGTTTTCCTATTTTACTGAGTAACTCTGTAATTTTCGTGAAATACAATTCGTTTGGCCTCACCTGTGTTCTCCTTCACTACTACTTCTACTACCACTACCGACCGCTATTGGATTTGAATTGACCGTTTTGCGTCTCTCTGTGGCTAATTTGGCACTATATATATAGGTTGTAACTGACTAACTGACTGACTGACAGACTGACTGATTGACTGACTGACGGACTGACTCAATCAATCAACACACTATATGACTACTAATCACATCTAATAAAAAAATTTAAAAAAATGATGACTTCTAATCAAATTCTCATTCTTTTTTATCTTTTAATGAGATTATCAATCATTGCGCTTTATTTTATTGATTGATTAAAATTGTTTTTTAAAAAAAAAAGTAATATTACTAAAAATGGAAACTTTATTAAGGATAAATTACTTATACTCATTATTGCTATTATTATTGGTGGTGGTCGTGGTGATGATGGCAGTTGGAGTAGTGGTAGTCGTCGTAGTCCTGGTAGTAGTTTCGATAATTAATTTGGCGCCTTATTCAAATAAATGATAGGCATATTTATGATTATTATGATTATTACTACACTCTACACTCTACACACACACAC